AGGGTATCCACCCCATTGTTACTTATAAACCTAATACAACTACAGGTTAGAAGAGTATCTCCACCATTTACTGATTTCTAAAGTAATATAATCCAAGTAACCAGGGTATCCACCCCATTGTTACTTATAAACCTAATACAACTACAGGTTAGAAGAGTATCTCCACCATTTACTGATTTCTAAAGTAATATAATCCAAGTAACCAGGGTATCCACCCCATTGTTAATTTTAAACCTAATACAACTACAGGTTAGAAGAGTATCCCCACCATTTACTAATTTCTAAAATAATATAATCCAAGTAACCAGGGTATCTTATAAACCTAATACAACTACAGGTTAGAAGAGTATCTCCACCATTTACTGATTTCTAAAGTAATACAATCGAACTAACCAGGGTATCCATCCCCATTGTTACTTTTAAACCTAATACAACTACAGGTTAGAAGAGTATCCCCACCATTTACTGATTTCTAAAGTAATATAATCTCGCTAACACCTGAGACATAACTTTAATGTACTGAAGATTACATTGGTGTTTCTCTCAACTACACCAACTATCCCGGATGCTACTAATACACAAACAATTAGAACTTACGTATCTGATGGGCCGTTCTAAAATCGGTAAAATTGATGTGGTGAAGAACTATCAGATCCGACAGCTCTTTGCGTAATTGGATTTTTTTGAACTTTTTCTATAAATGAAAAACAATAAAATAGAAAAAAACATTGATAAATTGACAGGTTTTTAGTCCTAACGTTGAAAATACAGGAAAAATTAAACACAATCCATTCCACCTGTGATATATTTTTTGCACATGAATAATATTTAATAAAAAAGAAGTATTGTTTCGGTTCATATCAAACAAATATCCTGATATTATTATCCTAGTCGTTCCTTTATTTGCGTAAAACAAAACGACGATAAGTTATTTAAAAACCATTATTGTAATTAAAAGCTTCTTCAACTGGATTGCGAACTATTTCTTGGGAACTAATACAGTAAATAATTATAATTACACAGGGAATTCCGATTTCTCCTATATCTTCATCTTCTGAGACTTCGCCAGTCAGCAAACAATACTCGGGGAGGATTTTACCCTGAAAAAAATAATAAGGTTTAAAAATAGAGAATTTAAAACATTTATATTCATCTATACACGCCCTTTTCTATTGGTATTTCTTTCCATTGGTGGGTCGTTAGCAGTTCAATATATTATACATTTCGATATTATTATGAGTGATAACTTTGCTTCTCAAAATATATAAGTATAAAACAAATTAAACCTTTAAGAGTATTTTCCTCCTGAGATCCTCTGGAGACATTTTGAACTCTCCTCCGTTCCCATGTCTGTTCGGAAGTAATAACTGATTGCCTAGTTTTTCCTGGATTAGGCTTACTACTTGTAGTTGACCTTGTAGGCTACAGTGATTTTGAAGATGAATTATGAGAGGGTAGCTGTAATGAAACAATATATATATATATATATATAGATTTGATTGACTCTTGAAAAAAAAAACTGAATTTGCTGAGCGGTGAATCAAATAAATCGTAGATCAACTTTAACGTTCATATTCCACCACAATGAGTCCCCTGCTGGAACAGCAGTCAGTCTTCGTATTTATACTGTTAAAATCAGGTGTTCAATTCCTCTCTGTGGACACGCCAGATAGCTTGATGTGGCTTTGCAATAAGAAAAACACACCCACAACACTGATAATTTCAGTAAAGAATAAAACATCCAGTTTTATATCTTTCATATTTCGATATGTTTACTTATTATTATATTTCAAACTAACTGACAATTTTAATTTTTGATTTAAAATAACCGCAGATCGATCGGGGGACTACATGAGAATGATTAATAGTTCTGTAAGTTGTAGCAGATGGCCCATTGTGTAGCTTTACGTATAACAAAAGACAAACGTGCTGATTCAATCACAAAAACCCAACCCTGTAAGTTTTAAATACCTTATCTGATACTTTGTATTTCCTTTTCCTCTAGGCCTATTCTAGTCGCAAATATTTTGACGTTATCAAAACGCTCATATTACAGGTAACTGATTTTAATAAGGATATACACTACACTTATTGTACAATTCTCAATGACGTTATTTTTGCTCTAGTTTTCTATTGGCTATTTTTTAATGTATCGAACCCAACCCAGAGGTTTCTGTCCCGACCTCCAACATGTCTAGCCGAGGAACATTTGTGGTTCGGGAAGTAGAGGAAATATAATATTGAAGCATAATCGTTTCTATTTTATTTTATTTTTTGTTTTGCACCTTGTGAACCGAAAATCTTTAAATAAACAGCGTATCTGTATACAGACTCTTACTACCTCTTTAACCTATAGTTGTTTAGATGAAAGGTTAATTATTATATCGTTAAATATTCAACTTTGTGTTATACTGCATTGAATATACTGTTACACAAGTATATACTTTAGACTAACATGGCATGATTAATTATCTTACCTAACTTTTATTTGTTTGTTGTTAAGCTCAAACCTAGCTAAACAATTGGCTATTTGTACTTTGCCCACCAGGGATATCGAAACCAAATTTTAGCGCTAGGGATCATTCAAAAATTGCGTAATGCTATGTGGGATGGGAGGGCCTGTAAGCCTGTGTTATGATGTGTTACGAGGGGTTAGGGATGTCATGAACAATGTTGCATAATATAAGTTATAGCAAAAGCATTTGAGGCCTACATCAAAACCTTTACTGCAATGTAGCATACTTTGACTTGATTTTTAAACTATATTACCTCCTTGGCAAGAGAGCGGTATAGATGCTTTTTATCATAACCCGCTAGAGGGCGGCAGCTTACGTTGAAGGAGTCCACCTTTACTTGCATATTTGGCGTTTGCCTAATTTGCCTGACGTATTAAAGAAGCTATTTAATTATTGTTTCATATATTTGAAGATATTTACACTTAAGTGGACTGGATTAAGGGGATGGACTAATCAATCAGTGTTAAGTAATGAATTAGGGATGTTACGACCTGTTACAAAGTGCTACATTGGCGTGAGATGGTATCAGACAGGGAGAAAAACTGCGTTACGTAATTTTTGAATAACCCCGAGACTTATCTCTGAGCCCCACTTCTCTCTAAAAGTTTCAGTTTTATTTCAATCTAACACAGTGATAACATACAATAGAAAAAGACAACTTCATGTTACACTTCTTTAACAAGCAGGTTATCACTTACTCAGAAAATTCGAAGGCATAACGAGATATAGCATCTAGAACCTGGGAGAGTCGTGAGTCAGTAGCTGGGCTGACTAGACGGGAAACCATGGGCTCATCTTCCCCATCCCAACAGTCAACTGCGACGAATATTATAATAAATACGACTATTGTACTTAGAAGTTTGACAAACATTTTACAACCGATATGCATGCACTCCTAAAAAGGACGATAATTCTACGAGAAAGAGCGTATTCGTAGTTATAATTTATATATGATAATCATAAAATAACACATTATCGTGTGTAGCAGTTGGAAAACAAAAAAACAAAACACAGTAAACGGAACAAACTGTCAGAAGT